AGTCCTGGCTGTCATGGAACTCACTTTGTAGACCAGGCTGGCTTCGAACTCACAAAGATCCACCTGCCTCTGCCTCCCAAGTGCTGGCCCACTCTTCAAAAGACCCCATTAGGAATAAAAACAAACAAGCCTTGGGTGGAGAGATGGCCCAGCGGTTAAGAGCACTGGCTGTTCTTCCAGAGGACCCGGGTTCAATTCCCAGCACCCACATGGCAGCTCACAACTGTCTGTAACTCCAGTTCCAGGAGATCTGACGCTGTCACACAGACATACATGTGGACAAAACACCAACACATAAAGTAAAAATAAATTCTTAAAAAAAAAAAAGCCTCATACTGAGAGAATGTACTTTAGGAAGCACACCCTATAAAGGTCTTACGTCTAGACTGCAAACAAACACTGGGAATACAGAAAGAGAGTTACATTGTTTTCTTCCTTTTCTTTCTTTCTTTCTTTTTTTTTTTTTTGAAAGATTTTGTGTGAATGAGTGTTTTGCTTATATGTATGTATATATAGCATGTGTATGCTTTGCTCCCTCCAAGGCAAGAAGAGGGCATTGGATTCCTCTGGAACTGGGATCACAGATGGTTATGATACACTATGTAGGTGCCAGAAGCTGAACCAAGTCCTCTGGAAGAGCAACAAATAACTCTTAACAGCTGAGCCATCTCTCCAGCCCTCACCCCACCCCTTTTCTGATAGTGTCTCCTGTAGTCCAGGCTGGCCTGGAACCTATATAAGATGAGGATGACTTTGAACTCCTGATCATCCTTCCTCTTTCCAAGGCTGCTGTGATTACAAGTGTGCACCACTACACCCAATTTAGGTCACTATTTTATTTTTTCAAATTGATAAAAATGAAAACACAGGTGTTTGTGCAGTTAATGGATATGAAAACATAGTGATATAATAATTATGACCCAAGTCTTTGATATTTTGGAAATTATTTTTGCCAACATGTCCCAGATCTTAAATGGCTGTTTCCTATAAGGTACTAATTCTGTCTCTAGTACAGTATCCTAATAGTTTAAACACTGAAACTGGCATGCTTATTCCAGTATTTTCTACCTGCAAAATAAAAACAGAAATCAATCAAAAGGAACTGGCCATAGAGCAATGCATACAAGTGAGGCTATGCAGACAAGAAAATTCTGTTTATAGAAAATACTTGAAAGTCAGGCATGATGGCACACACTTGTAATCCCAGCACTTAGAAGACAAAGCAGCAAGATCATGAGCTCAAGACCACCCTGTCTCAAAACAAAACCCTCAATATGCAAATCTGCTCAAGAGGTCAGGTGGAGAAATAGGAAGACATTATGATTATACTGGATGATTTCAGTCCCTATAAAAAAAAAGAAAGCTGAAGAACATGAGTGAAGGCCCTCTCTGCTTAAGTGTTTTTTAATTGTCCAAAGAGTCAAATTTACACACATTGCCATTAACTCAGCACAAAGGTGCATGAAGGTTCTGGCCTTGGAACAGGGTGCATAGGATCTGCCTTTGCAAGAGACAAAGTAAGCTCTTTCCTAGTGAGGCTGATACATTCCAAACATGAGATGGTTTTAGGTTGTCTCTCAAGAGTATCACTGGTCTTCACTCACTGCAGGATGGCATTGAATAGGGGACTAACCTGGACACAATCATGTTTTAAAATTGCCCTTCATTTGATCTGATTTGGGTTTTTTGTTTTGTTTTGTCTTTTTGGTTTCTCCAGACAAGGTTTCTGTGTAGCTTTGCGCCTTTCTTCCTAGAACTCACTCTGTAGCCCAGGTGCGCCTCGAACACACAGAAATCCGCCTGCCTCTGGGATTAAAGGCATGTGCCACCAGTGTGTGGCCTGATTTGCATTTTAAGGGGGCTCTCCCAGATCAGAAACCTAACTCTCCTGTTTATGTAGTTTCAAAAAAAAAAAAAATACCACAAAGACTGGTCAAGATCTAACTACTGCCCCCTAGTGGGAAATTACCCAAATAACCTGCTGCTGGCCCCATTTAAGTCTTTTTTTTTTTTTTTTTTTTTTTTTTTGGTTTTGTTTTTGTTTTTTTCCAGACAGGGTTTTTCTGTGTA